AAAGCCCTGCACATTCAACCTTACAGCGATCACCCATCTAGGAACTGACCAGGCTCGAAGTTGCTGAACTTCGATAATCGTACGGAAAGCGGTTTTTCAACGTGATGTAAGACCTGCACATACAAGCTTACAGCGCTTGGTATTCCCAAGCGGTCACTCATCTAGGTACTGACAAAGATCGACGTTGCTTAACTTCCTTGATTTCACGATGATGTGGCTGCAAGCCATTCTTTTTTTGGATTTAAACAGATGGTGGAAAGGGCGAAACCTGAGGATGCATTTGAAATTCGAATTGCAAAGTTTACAAAAATATCAAGGAACAAGAAAATTTAAAAAACAAAAACAAAAAAAGAATCACTAAACTTTTATTCAAATTCTATTCTCGTAGTTTATTTTCCCGCACTTCTCGCCTGTGGAGCTTCCTTCCGGTTTCTTGCTAACCTCCGACATGCAATCTTCAAAGATTTAAATGCAACACCAATCGGCAGCATTTGTCTTCCTGAATCTTGTTTTTATCTTGTATTTTTTTACTCGCGTTTTCAATTGTTCTCCTTCTCATTATTTACATTATTCGGACTACTGTCCTCATCTTTGTCACCATATTTATTACAGCGTTTCGGCCGTTGTACGCCCCGGCCTTCTTTCAGGTGGTTGGAATGTCGAACTTAACCCTTTATTTCGCTCACTGAGGTAGAATGTTCTAGTTCCACGTGCCATGTTTAATGGATGTCAGTTATCAGTTGTAATGAATATGGCGACAAAGATGAGCACAATAGTCTGAATAATGAAAATAGTGTATATAATACCTCATCTCAGACAGGTTCTCATTCTCTTTAATTTCCAGTAACCCTTTGCGTTGTAGTGGGATTATCGCCATCTTCTGTCTTCGTGAACACTGTTCTTTCGTTATCCGTTTTTATCACTAAAATATTTTCGTTCTCTTTTACTCCCAGTAACCCTTTGCGTTTTAGTGGCATTATTACTATCTTCTATCTTCCTGAAACCTGTTCTTTTATTGTCCTTAATGTTTCATCATTAAAGTCTTTTCGTTCTCTTTCACTTCCAGTAACCCTTTGTGTCTTAGTGGCATTATCGCCATTTTCTCTCTTCCTGCACCCTCTTCTTTTGTTTAACTTTCTCCTCACTAAACTCTTGTTACTCTCTTCCACTGCCAGTAACCCCTTGCGTCTTAGTGGCATTATTGCCTTTCTTCCGACAAAAAAACCCCCACCCCAAATGAATTTATTGATAAAAAACATCGATCCTGCTCCCTCCACCCGAGGCTGGTATACTAATGAAGCAGGGGGTTGTTATGCTGATGACATAGGCATTCATATTTGGGATAATAATGTAAGTAGTGATAGCTGGTAAACCAAATCCAACATAAAAAAAAATCAGGGTATGAATTTAGCAAATACTAAATCATAAAAATTGCTATAAATATATAGTATACGAGATCTGGTAACTGAACCTTGAATAGGCTGCACTAGGGTTAGTATCATCCAACAATGGAATTTGCTATGAAACCAAAACGTGAACTCGAACGAGAAGTGAACGAGAAGTAAACGAGAAGAGACAATTAACATAAAATTTACTGCTACCATTAGCAATTTCAAATTTGAAATTATGAGACTTACCTACTAATCTCATACTTCGCTTAAATTCCCGAAGTTGCGGAACTAAAGAGGGATGTTCATCTGTAAAATTACCATGAACATGTTCATAGAAAACGCACAGGGATTCTACGTTACGGCAGTGGGAAGAGCCCTGATGCCGAGATGTCAGGTCAGGATCAATAATATTGCATATTCTTCTTTGAATTTTATCAAGAATCACTAGATACATAACGGAAAACCAGAGCAGATGTGTCAGCTATATTTCGTGCACACGGACGAATAGTAGGCTTATAAGCATGTAAGATGGATCCGGGCGATAACTGTTATTAAGGACAACATTCCTAATACTTCAGTCACTATAATCATTACACTTTATGTTACCGGAAAATCTTAAAGCGAAAAGGCGCAATGTGTTACTCTCTTAGAAAACATATTGATTGATTGATTTTTTTAAAAAAATCAATATCACCCCAAGCAAGGCAGTACAGCCACTAAAATACAAGGGGTTACAGGGTGCAGAAAAATTAGGAACGGATACGTTAATAATGGCTGGAAAGCATGGAGCCGGAAAGGCATTCCACAAGCAAGGCAGTAAAGCCACTAAGACTCAAGGGGTTACTGGATGTGGAAAATTTACGAACAGAAACATTAATAATGAGCGGGAAGAGGAAATAGTAATAAGGAGAACAGTAGATAGCGGAAAAATGCATTAATTTCTGTTAGAATAAGAATTAATTAAGTTTATTATTATTTTTTTAATAGTATGTGTCTTTATACATAAAATGTGCCGAGATTTGTTTTATTTAAGGCTTTTACATTTATAAAAATACAATTTTTCAAGTGTACGAATATTTATTTTCCCCCCACTGTATATATGTGTGTGTGTGTGTGTGTTTATATATATATATATATATATATATATATATATATATATATATATATATATATATATATATATATATACTGTATGCTGTACGATTGTTTTCGACAGACGTTCATGTTCTTAGCTCTTTCTTTTTTAAAAAACTTTTTTCCTTCGAAATTGATTTGATCATTAGCAAATCAAAAGAAACCGAAAAGTTTTCCGAGACAGAGTGTAGTTATATATATATATATATATATATATATATATATATATATATAGATAGATAGATGAATAGATAGATATATTATAAATTAATTGATTTAAAATATGGTTTTTTTCACAGTTCTATACAGTTCTATACATATATTTTATATTTATATATATATATATATATATATATATATATATATATATATAGATATATAGATATCGATATATATATATATATATATATATATATATATATATATATATATATATATATATATATATATATATATGCAGATTAGAAATTTCTCATATTTTTAACACTACTGGACACTACTTTGAGAAGTAAGAATGTATAATTGCTCAACAAGCTTAACAGAAGAATAGTGATGAAATCGGTCAGAAAAGAAAATGACATATTCATCAATCACAGCCAATGATAAGAAGTTCATGAAAGGTTGAAATAAATTTAATATATATATGTAGATTATTCCAGGATTACTTTCCAACTTAGTGAAGGTGATCTCCGCCCTCTCTAACCTTCTAACTTTCTTTCCTGAAGTAACAAGGTGCCTCACACATTTCAGGTACGATTTTATTTTCAAGTCTTTTTTTCACTGCTCTTTGAACTGTCATAGCTGAAACTCCTCTCTCATGTGTCAAACGTCTTATGAATAGAGTTGGATATTTTCGAATTGCTTTCTTTAGCTTTAAGTTGAAATGATGAACCCACTTCCTGTTGTGACCCCCTGATCCAGATTTCCTCTTTACTCTTCCCTCTTTTTTTTAAAAAATTATTCACTGTTCTCTTGGCGGTTCTTAAATGGACTTTGAAGATGGAAGCCAGAGTATGAATGTTGGTATCATTACTGAAGGCATGACTGATATTTCCTCTCACCATTGCTCAATTGGGAAGAAATCGGGGCTGACACAAAACGATTTTAACGTGTTTTCTTTCTATCTGAATAGCTCAAAGGGTTTTTCAGTGATTCTTACGATAAATGGTGTCAAGATAGCTAAATATCTGAAAGCCTCGAAAAAAGAAACTCAGTTTAGTTGTTTTTTTTTTTTAGATATTATGGGATGGACAATTATTCTGTAACATGATATGGACAATTTTGCTGTTATACCGATAAATGGAACCAATATTTATCTGTGTAATCTAATGTAATTAATGAAAAAATACTTTTTCGGCATTAAATAAAACTGTAAGTGTCGTTGTGTCATAAAATCCACCAACTCAGGCTTTTTTATATTTACGTATGACTCTTCCTATCATTTAATTTACCACCATTCAGAGTTTCTCAGCAATCGTAACCAGTTCGCCGAATAATTATAAAAATGATTCATGAATAGAGAAATGTCTTTCACCTCGTAACTCTATACAGAATTTTTTGGAGACATTGTAACAGACAACAGAAAAATGGTGAAAGCAAAGGAAGAACTTAGCCTCGTTCTGGCGAACACAACGTCATATATTATGTTAGCAGCCATATTGAAAAATCTCTGGGAAATCTGAAAGATAAAAAGTGTTAACAACAAAGAAAAACTATTTTTATGTATTTCATTTTTTTTTTTTTTTGTCTCTTTGTTTCCTATTTTTACGTTTTTTTTTTCTTTGCGTTTTGTGGAGCATCGGAGAGAATGGTACATATTGGTGGATTCTAAAATCTCCCTTCAAAAAGGGAAAGAATTTTTTTTTAATTGAACACATCCGAAGGATACAATATATTAGCGTGAATTTTCTCTCATACTATTTTTTTTTTTGCCTGATTACGAAAGCTGCTACCAGAGATTTGATAATGCCTCACTCGACTGACTAGCTAATACATTTAATAATTTCCATGATATTCTTGGCAACTCTCTGTAAAACCAGGTCTTTGTTGCTTCTGGCCGTACCATCATTTGTAAATAAATTGTTTATGCATGATAGAATTATCTATTCTCTATTATCTAAAAGTCCATTGCTACTGGTGAGAAATAAAAATAGATTCAAGTGATCACCCAACACGAGTTATCAACAACTTTGCATTCAACAATGCTTTCTACTGAATGGCAGACATGTACTATAAGGCTCCTCTTGACATTTTTGATTCATGTTTGAAACTAAATGGTTGCAGATCCTAAAATGTTATCCTTTATCCCTTTAATAAATCTAATTTCCATTACTCTGTCATTTGGGGTCGTTGATTTGTGCCCGATCATTTTGTTTAAAAAAATTGTGAAACACCCTGTATACAGACATCTTTGGGGACATTTTAACAGACAACAGAAAAATTGTGAAAGCCTAAAAGATCTTAGCCTCGTTCTGG